TGTAGAGTTCTTCAACTGAGCATTCCAGTGATTAGTGATGTGCTTGATGGTTTAGTAAGTTGAATAGAAATGAATAATGCCTTTTTGTCAAACAATCCTATGGGCGCCTAAGCCTAGGTTTTTATTTTGGAAGGAATAAATAAATAAAAGGGAGAATAGAAGCCCATATTACATCAAAAGATATCATCACATAACTACGATGAAGCAACCTGACTATGCCTCACTAAGGGCACAATGCAAGTATCAATGCACACATGATTTTCAATATCAAGTTAATCTACAAAACTACCTACTACTACTATATCTAGCACTCAAGCCTCCAAGAAGAACCAAAAAAAATAAATAATTGTGAAGGTCCTTGGGTTTGGGTATGAGAGAGAGTACTTGACTTCTTTCTAATAATGTAGCAAAATTGTCCAAATTTAAACAAATCTTGACCAAATTTTAAAAATTTAAGACAGACCAATTTTATGAATAGCGACGTAATCAAGTGAATGTTTTACACTTCAATTTACCCACCGAAGTCAGGACAACCAATCGTAATCCAAGCTTTAAGTTCTAACAACAACAAAAGTAGTCAGGACAACCAAACCATGATGGTTATGATTAGTAAATTACTTAACTTACTCTCTCTCTCTTTGTTCATCAAATTTGAGTAAAAATTTGATTAAAAGTTTGATCTGATACGAATACTCCAATCGTTACTCTCATGGTCTTCTTCAAATCTTTTCAAAAAAATTCCAAACTTATCCTAAAAACCATCTCTCTTCTATACTATTTTTATGAAAGAAAACCATCTCCTATCCATACTCTATTTTAAAATTTTTTCAGAAAAGATTAAAAGTATTATTATTGGAGATTTGGTAAAAAAATTTGTTCATCCTTGATTTAGTGAAAATTTTGGATCTATTACGTTTTTCTTGTGTATAATAGCCAAACAATTTTGAGACCAACCTTATGTGTAAGGACCAAATTTGTGCTTAATAGTTCAAATAATTGACAGTAATTCTTTGATGAAAAAATAATTTCTGCTTAATGTTTTTTTTGATTAAAAAAATTGGCAATAATTCTGATTAAAAATTGACAGAAATTTGGTGATGAGAGACATTTCCTCAATGTTTAATAGTTCTGAGAGAAATTTGGTTCACAATAATTCTGGTTAATGTTTAATCAAAATTGATAGAAATTTGGTTGACATGATGTTTTTTAAATAATTGACAAACCAACTATTATACACAGTTGACAGTAAACACAATGTGTATAACCTTATTTTTTTTTTTAATAGCATACCAATTTCTGTTTAATGTTTTTTTTTTATTAAAAAAATTGACAATAATTCTGATTAAAAATTGACAGAAGGCACGATGTAAATAATTTTAAGATTAAAAATATATTGTTATTTTTTTCTTAAATAACTTGTAACATTTTTGCTTGTATTACATGATCTACAAAACTCAAATAAATAACAACTCTCCCTAATGTTACTGCAAATCAAAACATAAGAGCAAGTAAAAAAAAAATTGTAAACCCTGACAGAATAATTTCTTAGTTGATGATTAAGTAAACCCTAAAAAAAATTGTAAACACCTAATAATTTCTTTGTTGATGATTAAGTAAACAAACAAACCAAATTTTTTAAAATTGAATTTATGCACAATTTGTATATACAGAATCTTTTTATATAATGCACCTAATATTAAAAAATCCAAGGCACTTAGATTCACATGATTTGTGAAGATCATCTATTTTTTTTGAGAGCACTGAATTTCATTTTAAATAACAAACATAGAAAAATCAAAACACTCAGTAAAATATATCATCAAGTTTCTTTTGAATATGATATCTCAAACCAATAATTTTGAGTCATAAAAAAATCATCTCTAAAGCCAAAAGGGGGCTTGGATTCTCCACAACTTTTTTTTTTTTTTTTCTTTTTGGAGTGTTGAACACATTCAAGAGGCTGAACTAAACCAAGCAAAAGGTCAAACCACTGAACTGAAGTATGCTCTCTCGTGCTGCACCACTTCATTAATTTCCTACCTAATTTTATATACAATTTTTTAAATTTTTTTGTGTAATAAATATAGATATATGAGTGGCATGGTTGTCACAAAAGTTTCATTCAATTTTATTGTTGTGGGATATCTCTAGTGTCCAACATTGTAGTGGTGACTTAAAGGGGTAGGCAACTTTTGTACTTATTTAGGATATCAAGTTAAAAAGAATCCCATATAGTGTATGTGTATATATAAGTATTTTGTTTTAGAAAATAAAATAGCAAATTGTATGATTGAATTCAAAATATAAAACTTAAAATAAATTTTTAAAAATAATAAAGTTAATATATTTTCCAAAAAAAGAAATAATAAATCATAATTACCCATATAACTAATTTAAAAAATGTCTTCAAATATCAAGTAGTTCAATAATTAGAAAAATGTCTTCAATAACATCAAGTAGTTCAATAACATGTCTTCAAATATGTGTCAATAACCTTTTTTGAAACCAATTTTCAAGTGTATAACACCAAACTAATTTAAAAAATCCATTGAGCAGAATTTTTGGCGGAACCAAAATTTATGATTTTGGTGATCAACAGTTAACAGTAAACACATTGAGCAGAATTTGGTGATTTTGGTGACAAGAAATTCTGCTTTGAAAACACATTGTGCAGAATTCTTCTAATTGAGCAGAATTCTTTGAAAACAGTGGACAATTAAAATTCTTCTCAGTAAACACATTGAGCAGAATTCTTTGAAAACACAGTTGGCTCAATATCAAAGCAAAACAATAACAGAAGCTGTAGCCAAACGTTACCAAAGCAATAAACTAACCGAGCAGCCGAGCTTTTTATTTTTTATGGCTCCAAGTTCCTGATTAACTAACCGAGCAGCCGAGCAAAGTTCCTGTTTCAAGTTCAAGTTCCTAATTTCAATTAAAAAATAAGTGATATTGTTGGGTGCAAGGAGATACATGGAGCCATGTGAAACTAAGTGAATAAAATAAATGAACATTCATACTTAAATAAATGAACATTCATACTTATATATATAAATGAACTTTCGCAACCATGTGAAACTAAGTAAATAAAATAAATGAACATTCATACTTAAAATAACATACGTTTTTACTCATTAAAAATATATTATAAGAATTTAATATATTTCTATCATAAATATATTTTACTGAGTAGTCATTAAGTATAAATATTTTACATTGATGATATATGTTGTTAATGTGAATATTTTACATTGATGATAAGAAAATATTTTATTTGAGTTTATTATTCACACTGTCAACTCAGTAAATATTATTCACATTCAGATTCATATGCTGATATACCCCTACTTAGCTATATTGTTGCAGGTCATAAACATTACTGATATACCAGCATATATCATCAGTTTATTAAGATTAAAATATTTTATTTGAGTTTATTATTCACACCATAATGTTAATGGCAAGGGGAACTTCACAGTATTTTATATGCTGGTATAAATATTTTCTTAATCATATTTTCTTAAAATGCTATTCTTAATCATTAAAATACTATGTGCCAAATATGTTTTTCAACTCACATTTTTCTAGATGTCATTGTGCCAAATATGTCATATTTTTCAACCTCTAACACCATTTTGCGAGGGGACCATTTTCAAAATAGAAAGTCACAGCAGTAAACATCATTATGTTTTTCAAAATATGTTTTTCAACCTCTAACACCTCTGTTTGAAGTTCTTAATCAACTAAGAAAATATTCTTAATCAATATTTTCTTAATCATAAACTAAAGCATCAGATTAACCAATCTACTATAATCTCAAGTCTGGAGTAAATGAAACGAAATGGTGGAGTCCTATCTTTTAATGATCAAAATATAAAAGTATTTAAATATATTATTGTATCCTATTTTGTATCCTATAAATTGTAAATTGTATCCTATTAATGATCAAAATCTCACCTCTGTTTGTAGAAAATTTTAAAATCTCAAGTATAAATTTTATGATATATTGTATGATAGAAAATTGTATCCTATAAATTGTATCCCATAACCATGTGAACCTCCTGAAAACCTCCTTCAGGCACAGTCCTATCATAAAATTTATACTTGAGATTTTAAAATTTTCTACAAACAGAGGTGAGATTTTGATCATTAATAGGATACAATTTACAATTTATAGGATACAAAATAGGATACAATAATATATTTAAATACTTTTATATTTTGATCATTAAAAGATAGGACTCCACCATTTCGTTTCATTTACTCCAGACTTGAGATTATAGTAGATTGGTTAATCTGATGCTTAATAGGATACAATTTATATTTAAATACTCAAGTCTGGAGTAAATTTCCTATTAAGCATCAGATTAACCAATCTACTATAAAAGGAAATAATTGAAATCATTAAAAAGATACCCAAAGAAAAATCCTGGTCAGATACATGCAGAAAAATCCTGAAATGAATCCATATGAAAAATGATTGATCAGGAAACTCTTGTATAATTACAATAAAAAATGAAACTCTTGTAAACTCTAGTTGCAATAAACTCTTGTATAATTACCAGAAAAAATGAAACTCTTGTAAACATTTCCAGAAAAATGAAACTCTTGTAAACTCGTATTGTAAACTCCAGAAAAATGAAACTCTTGTAAACTCTAGTTGTATTATGCCTTTTTGTTCTTCGCTCTCTCTCCTTAAATACTCAATTGTCATGAAGAAAGAGTGAGAGAGAAAGAGCAAAGCACAGAATTGAGAGACATGTCCGAATTTTGTATATTAAAATTTATTTGGAGTAGTCATTTTTGGAGTATATCATCATCATTGGTTTCAATTGGCATCAAGCATCATCAAGCATAGAAAAATTTATTTGGAGTATATCATCATCAAGCATCATTAAGCATAGAAAAATTAGCTGAGTTAATCAGCCGAGAGACATTTTTGGAGTAGTCATTTTTCTATGCTTGATCATCATCAGCATGTATATCGTCATTTTTTGGAGTACTCTAGAGTCGGCAAAACCAGCATGTATCATTAAGTGTATGTTAATCATTGGAGTAGTCATTTTGTTTCACATTACCGAGCAGCCGAGTTATTGAAGTTCCTGTTTCACTTGGAGCCAGAGTGAACAACGGTAAGCTCTGATGAAGGCAAAAGCTGAGGGAAAAAAAAAATTCAAGAAGAAGAACAAAAATGAGATAATAAAAATGAGAGAAAGCATATATGAATCGATTGACTGTGCATATAAGAGAGGAAAGGAAAGGAACCCGAAACATAAGAGAGGAAAGGAAAGGAACCCAAAACATAACTGTGCATATAAGAATTGGACCCAGCAGTTAAGAACCCAGCATATATGGATTCAATAACTTATGATTTTGAGTTCAATAACTGTGCAAAAGTATGTGCTTCTCTCCGACCTGCTTCTCTCCAACCCACCTCTGTTAGAATTTGAATTCAACCCACCTCTGTTTGAATTTAATAAAATGTTGACATGTGCTTCTCTCCAACCTTCTCAAATCAATTTCGTATGTGCTTCTCTCCAGCAGTTAAGAGTGCAGTAGTATTTTTCTATCAAGCTTCACATCTCATCAGAGAGTAGGAATGGGAAGAAGACAGAGGGTATGGGGGAGACAGAAATGTGTTGGGCGGGAAACCTTTGATACATTTTGATATAAACCATTGATCTCAACCATTGATATAATATTTGGAATTGATCTCAGCCATTGGATCAAAATGTATCTCACATACATTTTGACACATTTTTCAAAAAGCTTTGTGCCTTATTATATAGATATTTGCTCAGTTATTATCTTTTTCTTTAAAAATCAATTTCTTTATTATCTAATACACTCCTACAAAACAATATCTTGCTTTGATAGTTGTGTCTGAAATTTCACTCTTACAAAACAAGGCCTTGCTAATTGCTAGGTTGTGGTAGGGCAAACCCATTCGTCTCTAAACGTGTGGCCTGTCGGAGTAGAAGTGGTTTTACAGACTTGCCAATATATCTCCCTCAGCCGCTCCTCCACCAGAAGTACTTCCACTTGAGCAGCAAGCCAGTCTAGGTACTCAAAAAGGAAAGTCATTATGTTCGAAAACTTGTGTGATTTGGAGAGAGGGAGAGAGAAGAATTTTCTTGGCCCTAGTCACCCATTTGGATAATTAAAGAGGAGAGAAACGGAGTGAAACTAGAAGACATAAATAGTTAAACAAGCCAAGTTAGGCCGAGTAGTAAATTATCCAACTTGGTTAGAAAATTTAACGAATTTAAAAAATGTATTTAGGTTTAGTTTGTTTATATTTCTAACCGATGTCAAACAAGTTTTAATAAAGCCGATACTTTCCAAATCTCTCCAAAAGTGGAGATTTGTAGGGAGAAAAAAACCCAACTTCGTCTTTTCGTATTACCAAAACTACTGGTCTAGATACAAAGAAATTAAAAGAAATAACATGAGAAGTTTATTTTGGTAAAACAATGTGTATAAAGAGAGCAACAATTACCTTCTCTCCCAATTTATGTAATCATTTATTTTCTTTTATCTCCTTAATTACCAAACAGCCTGTTAATTTGTTTTTAATAGAATGCCAAAATGAAATAGAGAATTTAATGACAAAATATGCATTTTGTTTTTGGTCTCTAGAGACTATAACGTGTCATGTGAAAACTAGTAAAATATAAAACAACGATACAATGGAAACGGGGGTAGAAGACCTCATCTTTTTTCTCCTTGATTACCAAACAGACTGTTAATTTGTTTTTAATAGAATGCCAAAATGAAATAGAGAACGTAATGACAAAATGATAAAATATGCATTTTGTTTTTGGTCTCTAGAGACTATAACGTGTCATGTGAAAACTAGTATGGAAATGGGGGTAGAAGACCTCATTCGGATGAAGACGATGGGTATGGTGCTTGGGGATCCCGCATTCCTCCATACACTGGTAATGTTGTTGAGCAACGGCCAACATCTCCTCTTTGGATGGCAAATGGGCATTACCAGATAAAACTTGTGCTACCCAACTCGATTGCAATTCCATCATTAGAAATAAAATTGCCTGATTGTCAAGAGAACTTTCCACTCTCAGAGTTCATTCAATTGTTTGGACAAAACAAAAAATAAAACTACATAAAAATCCATTAAGAATGCTCTTGCTTCACCATATGGTATATTGAGTATAGTTTTGACCTCTTGGTTGGTTCTACAATAACATCACAGCTTGTTTCAAGAAAATTTAGATTAATGATTATTCTTAGAAAGGAAGCATAAATAATTCTAACAAGAAAATAAAATGGAAATAGCAACAAAGCAAGAAAGAGAAAAACAAGAATGATTCTAACTAACCCTATAAGGTATCACAAAATTCCACAGTAGTAATAACATGTGGTTCCAAACTATACCAAATCCAACCCATAACACATGAATTCTCACTACACCAATTATCATAAATTTTATTATTAGTGGCAAGAGGGAGTTCGCTAAGGAAGCGGGACTTCTTGCCACGTAAGAAAATTTTGATAGCATAGACCCAAGCCAAATAATTAGCACCATTCAATTTCTTGGTAGTGATAGATTTAGGCATGTCATCATCCTTATTCACAGCCATAGCCTTAGCTTCACTCAGCCATGGCAAAATACTTACAAATAGTCAATACCCACAACAACTAGCACCCACAACAACCAATATAGACAACATAACTAGCTCAAAAATAAGAATTCATGACAAAATATGCATGAGTAAGGAGAACACAGGTCAGCCAAATAGATTCGGATCCAAATTAAACCAACACAACAACCCACCAACACAAATCAACAACTGAAGAGCAAATGTCCCTTACTAGAAGGATTTCGGCCCATATATAGTAAATTCCAATAGGTAGAAATGAAAAAAATAGTCTGCCAAACCATATTGAGGCAAAAATCAAACAAAATACCAACCCAACAGCAGCAAAACAACAAATTAATAGCAAATATCACTACAGAGAGGATTTTCGGCTCCTACATGTCCTATTTCAGCAAGAAGAACCAGCGAAAACAGGGCCCAATCCATATTCAAAGAGAGGCATCAAAAAGCACAAAAACATTTGAAAATAAAAAATTTCACATCAGGAATAATCGAAAATTTTCACAAAAATCATCATAAATCTCAAGAGAAAATTTCGAGTCTATAGGGATGTAGGTCTTGTCCGTACAGTGCTTACGTTAGCTGACGTCATCATACGGCTGATGACATCAGCACTTCTCGGTCACCTCAGATCAATCTCCAGAGTCTGTAGAGCACTTTCTAATGAAGAATAGATTGCTCTGATACCAAGTCAGAATGTAAAATGAAGAAATTTAGGGTTAGGATATAAGAGGAACTAGAAGAGAAAAGAAAAGAGAAAGAAACTTTATATATCTTGAAAATTGTATTCTCAACTCTATAGCAGCAAAGTATATATACAAACTCAAACATTGCAATATGACCATCGTACTCTCAACTTAAGTAACTATTAACAGAAGAGCAAGAGAATAGAAAATAACTTTTCTAACAATGTCGATGGTGAGTAAATAATGAAATAAACAATAATAAATATACTTTTTTTTTTTTGGGTTGAAAATAAATGATAATATTATTTTTTCATTCATATCACTAATGGATTAAGTCAATGAACTAATATTCATCATGGAGAAAAGCAACTGTTCTTTCTATTCCCCCAAGAGTGGCAGTTTCAATTGAAACATGAACCTGTTGTCTGTACCCAGGTAATACAACAGTCAGTACACAGAGAGAGAGAGAGGACTTTCCTGTTGAAGCTTATGGTATGGTATGATATGGTGCTTTGCCATCTCTTCTTCAGTTGGCAGCTGCACCTCACAAGACAACTTTTGCTATCGACTTAGTCTGTAGCTCAATTAACAACTGGGAATAGCTTGATCTCACAGAGAAGAACTACAATAATTCATCACCTCAACAATCAAAAGCAAGTTAAGGTCATGGATATACACTTGAAGAGCAACAACAATAGCTGATTCTCATGTTTTTCTGAAAGAAGAAGATATACAATGAAGCGCAATACACAACTACGGAGGAGGCTGGGCCTTATACAACAAAAAGCCTTTCACAACCCAAGAAATGAAAACATGGTCATGGTATTCTCATCTTTTCCACTGAAGCCCCTCTCACCGGGGGATGACTAACCACATCTTCCACACTAAGCATTAACTATTTCATGTAGAAGACTCGGGGACTTCAAACATGTTGGTGCTAATAGAGGCACAATTATTCTTCAAGATTTCACCAACGGGCAGCTTATTTGACATGGGAAGCTCAACCTTGTCCTTTGCCTTTTCTCTTTGCAACTTATTGCCATTCAGTGTTTTAGCTCCTTTCTCTTGCAACCTCCATACTTGAGCATTACTGTTGTCAATATTTATTAAATGTATCATCAAATTTATAGCATGTAATACATACCCCGTAAACTAATACCACGAAAGAGAGTGAAGGGTCAAAGTGTGGTGAAAAGACCACACTCATAGATAGGCCCAACGCGATTGTTGGCGGAATTCCATTTGCTTTCACAAATGGGAAATGGTATTTGTACTTGTAGGAGATCATATCACTTTTAGAGATTTAATAAAAGAAAAAAGTAAGATAAATAAAAAACAAAGAAATGGAAGACTGCGTAGGTGGACACTAAAGGACATCTTGTTCAATGCCCAGTAAAACGGATGATGGCATATGATCTGTCTTGAAATTCCGTTGTCACATGACTCCCATTGTCATATTCAGTTGCTGTCTGTAGAAGAAAGAAACTTCGGATTAGAAATTTTTCCCCACATGATGAAATCCTCATTGTTGACAATTGAGTAAAGCTTGATTGCTTGCAACAAATTCTAGTAAAACAGAACACAAAACCACAAAATGCTGCATGTACTGTTATAATTGACAAATTACCACCGAGTGTTGCCAAGTGTTGTTCCCTTGATTGTCCAACTTTGCAAGTTGAACATTTAGGGCTCTAGAGACTTTTGCAATGGGAGAGAGATCTTTAGAGATGTCAAGAGCAACAACAATCTGTCAATCAGAGAGTCAGAATTAGATACAACTAACCAAAAAAGGTCCAAAGAACAAAGTGAGAATGGCAGCCATGGAAATATGTTGCTGCAAACAGCATTATGAGATTTGGCAGTGGTGAATAAGTCAATAAACAAAACTATTGTTTTGGATGACATAGTAGACAATAACTCGTGCAATCACTTCCATCTATGCTTTTCAGTCTAAACAGAACTACTCAAATAATGTAAATGCCTCTAACAAACACCGAAACAAATCCGGGCATGTTGTGTACTCCAGATCCAAGATGAAAATGTTGTTTTATGACCATATCAAGCGACAGTAGAACAACGATATAAACATTTGAATACTTGATATTGAAAAGTTTCAGGAGTCCAGTAATTATGGCTGTGTACTTGCACTCGTAGTGGTTTATCCACAGTTATCACACATTAAGATTCTATTTTGGCTATCTCCTCTCCTCTTTTCTTCTCATTTTTGTTCAAGTTAAGGATTAAATTGGGGCTCTCGTGTTTTGAAAGTCAGCGCATCTGTTTGTGTTCATAGTTACATCTTTCTTTGCTCATGCATCATCAATGCAAAGAATACAAAGAAATAAACAGCCCACATCGGCCCCAAACAAAACAACATCTACAAAAGCCAAAACATCAAGATCAACGGAACCCGTAACCCAACTGTGCAACACCATCAGCAACATACTCTCTAACCAAGGAACTGAATGACACACATCCTGAAAAACGCGCCTGTTACATTTGAGTCTTTTTCACTCGGCTACAATCTTTAGTAAGCCATGATAATATTCTAAGTTGTTATTTGTAACTAATGCTGCTACTTTTGAAGCATACCATTATTTTCTTACCAGAGAAAAGAAACATATTTTCTATACATCAAATATCAGGCCTTAAGTGAAATATGCTCAACTGCTTGGCAAAGGTCAAACTGAATCATTACTACAAAAAGTTCAGTTTGAAAACTCCATATTGTGCTTGATCAATTCATTTGCAAACCTAATTATAGTGCCCCTTCATCCCCAACAAATGTTACATCTTCAAATTTTAACTTGATATTGAAAATGATAACTTAAAAATTTTATATACTTGGATTCTAATTCTAAGGCCCAAGTTTCAAATGTGAGATATGCATCATGACATTTTTTTTGTTTGGTGAATTATGATAACACTTCTCAGAATATGTCACCCAAATGGGATGATCTTATATAACCATACTACTCGAGTTCTAATGTTCCCAAGATTTCTACCTTGTGTGATTATGCCACCACATGTTTCATTGTAGCTTGTGATGGAAACCAAGTATTTATCTGCCACAATTTCTTATTGTCAAAGATCACCAGATGAGCCATGGCTTTACAGTTTTGAGTTAAGAAAAACGATCATAGAATTGAATTAAATGTTTCTTTATTTTTTATTTTATTTTTTAATCATAGGTCTACATACAGCTTGGCCCCAAACAATCTCTAGTATACTGGGCACATCCTAGGAGTGGCTTCAAATACAGTGAGGAATGAATCCTGAGCCAATGGTACACCACAGGTTTCCACCCTTGACTTCCCCTGTGGGTAGTAAAGGTCATGAGTTGAATACAGTTAACTAAAAAGTTAGCTTATTGGATACAAATAAGCTTACAAAAAAAGCTAGTGTTAAAAAGCTATTTTGTTCAGCTCATTCCCAAGTGTTTTTTTTTTTTTTTAAAAATTTTGTAATTACTTTTTTTTGGTAGCTGAAGTGAGTTTTGTTTGTGGGAAACGGGTACGCAAAAAGTGAGCTAAAGTGTTTTTTTTTTTTTTTTCACAGCTAAATCAAGCAAAATGGGTTGGAAATTCCCGATAAAATCCCAAATGAGTCAAATATTCACAATACAAACTACACTTTCTCAAAGTACATATGGATCAAATCAAAGTAATGTAATCAAAATTAAGCACCAAAAAAACAGAAACAAAACAACCCATTTATTTCCAACACCACCTAAAAAGTAAAATTACATTTAAAATTCAGAAATCACAGAAATTAAGCAACAAAGCAAAACCCTAAAAAACACATAACGTATAGCATATGAATCATCTTCCACAAAATAAGAAAAACAGAGACAAATGGGGTTTTTTTTTTTCTTTTTTTTCTGTGTCTGTATACATACAGATAGATAGATGGTAAACCAATCATTTATTGATCGAGATCGTCGTCTTTGTTCTTCTTGGGTTTGCGATAGCTCTCCTCGACTTGCTTGGCCATGAAGAGGCCAGTGTTGGCGAGTTTTCTGATGTTGGGTACATTGTAATTCTGGGTAATATAGATTCCACACACTGTTCCCATCATGAATGTGAAAGTGGTTCTGATTACACCCATTTCTGGTTGTATTGCAAAATTCAAAACTGGCTCAAGATCGGATTTGATTGTTGCAGATTTGGGTTTCTAGAGAGAGAAAGGGTCAATGGAGATTGAGGGGTTTTAGTGACTAGTGACTGAAGCTGGATAGGGGGAGAGAAGTTTGTGTGAAACTTATAAAGGGTTGTTTGGTATGGGAATTTCAGTTTTGGGTTTCGTATTTTCCAAGCCTTTTTGCTTAGCAGAGGCTAACCCCTTCTCCAAGAGTCAACCCATGCCCACCTCCCCCAAGTAATTTTAGGGGTATTTTGAGAAGTTGGTAGAAAGTTATTTTTGATTTTTTATTAAATTTTTTAGTTTTTTTTAAAGTAATTTGGGTTGCCAATAGATTAATTTTATAATTAATAATTTGGCTAACCTATTCACGAATGTCGATATAAAATAAATTTATATTTGCTTAAAATTTTTTAATTTGGAACAATTAATTTTGCAAGATTCTACTTTATTTTGTTTTAGGGATTCAACTTCAAGAATAATTTTAACCTATCTAATCTTGTCTACAAATCAAACATGGTTTGATTTTTTTTTTAATATTAATCCTAGTCTTAATTGATATATGAGCACCCCACTGCGGGTCCAACTCATTTTCCATTTCAGTTTTGGGTTTCGTATTTTCCAAGCCTTTTTGCTTAGCATAACCCCTTCTCCAAGAGTCAACCCATGCCCACCTCCCCCAAGTAATTTTAGGGATATTTTGAGATCTTTTGACTTTTTATTAAATTTTTTAGTTTTTTTTAAAAGTAATTTGGGTTGCCAATAGATTAATTTTATAATTAATAATTTGGCTAACCTATTCACTTTTGGAACAATTAATTTTGCAAGATTCTACTTTATTTTGTTTTAGGGATTCAACTTCAAGAATAATTTTAACCTATCTAATCTTGTCTACAAATCAAACATGGTTTGATTTTTTTTTTAATATTAATCCTAGTCTTAATTGATATATGTAATTTGTGAGTACTCCAGCAAGCATAGCTAAATTAGCTATTCATAATTTCACTTTACTATTTTAACTAGTTACTTTTTAAAAATATATTTTAACAAACTCTCTATTTTAACTATATTAATTAAAAATATTATTAAAAACTTTAGGTGATCGACCGGATGGATAACTAAGGCCGGACAAAAAAGATTTGAGTGATCTACTGGATGAATGACCGAATAGTCGACCACTTAGTGGAAATTTTGCTCCCTTTAGTGCCGAAATGAGAAATGAGAGAAGGAAAAATTAACATAAAATTGAAAGGTTCTATATTATTTAAAAATATTATTAAAAGTTTTGGGTGATTGACCAGATGGATAACCAAGGCCGGACAAATAAGATTTGAGTGGTCTATCGGATGGATGACCGAATAGTTGATCACTTAGTGAAAATTTTGCCCCCCTTTTAGTGCCAAAATGAGAAATGAGAGAAGGAAAAATTAACATAAAATCGAAAGGTTCTATATTATTTAAAAATATTATTAAAAGTTTTGGGTGATTGACTAGATGGATAACTAAGGCCAGACAAAAAAGATTTGAGTGGTCTACTGGATGGATGACCGAATAGTCGATCACTTAGTGGAAAATTTGCTCCCATTAGTGTCAAAATGAGAAATGAGAAAAGGAAAAATCAACATAAAATTGAAAGGTCCATGAACACTGCCTCATTTGTCTTAGCGAGTTACTGAGTTATTGTAACTCTCAACCATTTCAGCGATATTTGAATGAGTCTGTTGGAGAAGTATTTTCTGTTTCACAATTCACTTTTGTGGTTGAAAAGTGAAAGAAACGAGATTGAAAATGCTCTAAAAGGTTTGACATTAGCCAAAAAAAAATAATGATTTAGAACATATTTTATTTATAAGATAGAAAAAAATACTTAAAAATTGATTCCCAGTATGTATGGATGCAATTTAAGCTACCTAAACTTGAGTAACTAGAAAATGTTTAGAATGGACAATATAATTTCAAATTCCTCGACCCAAATTAAATTAGTACAAAGCTTGGCAGGGCTTTGCACGGCCCGAATTGTATAATATATAATAATTATGAATTATTTTATTACCATTTGAATTAAATTGTATTACAAACATTTTAGGAAAATTTATCCGTAAATCTCATATGAAAAAATATTAATCCATTTAGTACTAAGAGTTTGCTTATGAACTAATTAGTCATTTTTATTATAAAAAGTTGTATTTATTTGATTTGATACAATTTGAATTTAAATGAATGTCCTTTTCTGATTCATTTTTTTTAAATTTTCTGATCCATTTTTAGGATAAGAATAGAAAGGTAAAGTGTGGAATATTCTTTTCGGACGAATTAGTGGCTGAAGTATTGGTTGTCGACTGTGAAAATCTACATTTCTATTAGTATGATTTTTTGGTGTTACATTAGAGTGTCACATTTGGAAAAGCTACACTAATGAATTTTTTTGTATTACGTAGATTGGAGTGTTACGTTTGAGAAAAGTACGTTACGAAATTTTTTTAGAATGTTATGTTGTTACATTTAAGAAAATTACTCTAAGCAATTTTTTAGTTTTATATTGGAGTGTTCCGGTTGGAATGTTACGTTGTTATATTTGATAAAAGTATATTAAGGAATTTTTTAGTCTGTTACATTGGCGTATTACTGTCACAACCCAAATCCGCCCTTATAGGTTTAACGTCATAATCAGCCAGTAATTCGAGATTATCAAAGGCCTTCCTATACAAATCAAATAAGCGGGGCTAGCAGAAGCTAATAATTAAGAAAATAAACATCCAACGAGCTATGAAGACTTATATGGGACAAAAGAACTTTTATATATACGCATACATATATCAGTCCATACACATTAGTCCATGACAAGTTTAATTACAATACATAATTAAAACACAAAAACTTAACCCCGGCCAACAAAATCAATTTCAATAAAAAATTTGCTAAGAACTAGTCCAAATGTCAAAAGGGTGACTCCCAAATCACCCGTGCAGCTCTAAAGCTTAACTAGTTGGAACCCCGTGGTGGCACAAAAGTTGGCTTGGCAAAATGAAGGTTAGGTCGACGCCACTACGTCCACTCTTGCATTGGATCACCTACATACATATATAAAATAATGAGCAAGAGCCCAGAGAATAACAACAGCGTACAGAGGTTAAAAATGATGTCCTTACTGTAATCCAAATTGGTTAAATATAATAGTAAACAGAAAATTATAATCATTTGCATAACAGATCCATATTTTATATAGAAAACATAGCAGTCATATGTGGTACATCAAATAGTAGAACAATATAGACGGTCATGAAGATCGGACAGTCAGAATTGATGGACGTGCCATCAATACAGTAAATAGAAGTTCCAAGAATTGGAACTGACAGAGATCTCTGTAACAATAATAGTAAATAGATGCTAAGGATGACGAATATAGTTCAGAAAATAAGACAATCATTCACTTAAGCAGAAAATATCATTTCAGAAACAGAATATAGTTTAAGTCAAAAAATACTTATAATTGAACATATCTGTACAAGGTTATTACTTACAGCTGGCTCCTTGGAACACATGGGTAGGACGTGGCGTTCGACCTACATAGACACATGAAAGCACAACAGTTCACAAAACAATCCTTTCATGTAGTCAATTCATAACCTATTTGCTCTAGTCACTAATTTCCCTTTCATTCATTAATTTCCTCATTAAGTTCCATTGTGTTCATGAGATGCAACTGCATATAAAAAACACTTGGAAAGTATGCAAACGGAGGCTCAGAAGTTAGAGAAAACAAGAAGAAAACAAAACTAAGTAGACCCTACTGGCTACACATGCGGTGGCTTGGGTCGCTCGTGCGAGCATAATGTAATTGGGCTTGGCCGCTCGTGTGGTGATCCGGTCGCACTAGCGTTAAGGTCTCGCTGCTCATACGGAGACCCGGCCGCTCGTGCAGTGACCTGGCCTCACCAACGTGCAGAATGCAAAGTTAGGAAAAAGGGGCTTGGCCGCTCGTGCTGTGGCCCAGGCACCTAGAGTGGTCTGGGTGTAGAACTAGTTCGAAAATTTGTTGAAAATGAACCTTTCTCTTTTGCAAAAACCAAATCCAAAATCATGTAAATCAAAACCCAAAACTCACAAAAACATGTTGAATAACCAAGCTTTAACTTAAAATTAAACCATGTCTTCAAAACAAACCCATTTGCATTGAAAAGGAAAAAGATCAAAACTTTGAATATAAGGGCAAAATCAAGAACCATGGAAATGTAAATTTTCAAACTCAAAATCCATGAATTTCTTCCACTATCTACAAGAATCATGCAAGAGACAAGTAATTGAACAAGAATGATGCTATGCATGACAAAATCTTCAACTCTTTCTTTTAAATTCTCCTTTAGGGTTCTTGACATGAACTACACCACCCAATCCCTAATTCAACTCAAATTCTACAATCTTATGTATAAATTTACTTAATCTCATGGGTTTAGACAAGAATTCTTACCTTTGATTGTGGAATTGTTGAAGATGGACTCAAATCTCTTTGATTCTCTTCTTTTCTTTTTTCCTTTCTTGAGCTCTTTCTCCTCATTTCTCTCGAACTCTTCATAAGTCTTTACAAAATATCTCCCGTTATATCTTCCTCTTATTTGTTGACTTAGCCCAAATTTTCCTTAATTAAACGTTAAGCTTAACTTAATTTAAATCAAATTCACTTAATCAAGTGTAGCTTGGCTTTTTCGCGCCCCCTCTCGGAAGTTTGAAAGAAGCCCTACAGCTCGGACTCCTGCAGTTCTGAATCTAATCTCACAAGTGCAATGTGAAATTGATAAACACCAAAGAGTCTAAATCCGGCAAATCATTTGAAAAATTAATTTTGAATAAAAAATGTCAAAATTAGACTGCTTTGCCAGATGTAGAGTCGCCATCTAAATATTTTTGAAAAATCTAGGAAACCCATGACTCATGCCAAAGGCCACGTGTCCATCATCACCAAAGTTGCCTTAGCTCGGGAACTTAGGTATGAGAAGAGAAGGTCATGAATTGAGCACTCCCGTTCGTCCGATCAAAGATCGGCCTCTACTAATCATGATATGATTCTTATTAACATTATATGCTCTTGTGCCGTTTATTAGGCTAGCATTACTATGCGATGTGCACATACAAGTATAGACTAGTTTGCTCAAATCAGAACAACTCAATTTCATGTTTGTTTTGTGAAAATAGTTTGATTTTGCCACCTCA